AATTTGGGAAGAAAGTTTTTGTATGTATGTGTTGTATTGTTTCTACACCTTCATTTATACAATGCTGATTCCATAGCGTAGCAAAGTTTGGAGTCAAACCTTTTATTTTAATGATACTTGTTATGTTTTTTAATCCTTTAATTCGTGATTGTTGTCGAGACTCCGCTCTTTTCCTGGCACGTTTGACTACGATGTCTGCTTTTTCATTTCCTGGTATGTTAGAGTGTCCTTTGATCCAGTATATTTCCGGTGATGAATCCGCTACAAGGTTACATAACAGGTCTTGACACTCTTGGATTTGCTTTTCATATGTCCCTGAATTAGTTCTGTTTTTTATTGCATCAATAACAAATTTGCAATCACTTAATATTATTATTCTTTCTTTTTTGTTTCTGTAGTGTGACCATACGTATTTCAACGCATGTTTGATTCATTCTATCTCACACTCGATATTCTCTTTCTGGTGTTGGTATAGGTAAGATATTTGCTATCATCCATAATTTAGGCACATAGACAATTTGAAAGCTCCAATTAAATAAAATAACGAGTGAGTCTATCATAGTTTGGCCTCCATTTTTCAGCATAAGGTTATTCACATTATCCGGTCCTTGTGCTTTATATGGTGCCAAATGTTTTATTGAATCTATAACTTCTTCTTCAGTTATTTACTTGGTGCAATTCCTTATTGTAGATTTCACTGTCCATTTCTGCATCCCTTGCCATTGCAACTATAGAACTAATTTCATAATATACTATTTGACAATGATTTTCATTTATGGAGTTATGTTGTTGATGAGGATCTGAAAACCATTTTGCAAGCCAGTTTGCTTTTTCTGTATCTGACTAAGCACTTATTGATTGTTCTTTTTCAGTTGCTGGTTTTGTCAGCGTTGGTATAAGTGAAATTTTATTGTAATTCATGGACCTAAATTTTGCAAATAATTGCTTCATATTATTTTTAGTTAATAATTCAATATTTTTTGTTAAAAATTCTTGCTTTTCTCTTCTTAAATTTCTTTTAAGTGCTTTGGCTTCATCCTTGTGCCTTTTGTAATTTGTCTCATTATTATATTTCCTAAATTTTCTTTTTAATCTATGTACCTTTTTCCTTTGTCTTTGTAGAGCATTACTCCACCATGGTTTATTCCCCTTCCATATCATTTTCATTCCTATTGTATCTTTTCCAGTTTGAATTACACAATTTGTCCAATTATTTACTGCACTGTCGAGTGCATTTTCATTTTGATCTGTTGTACATATTGTTGTTTTCCATATTTGTAGATTTTTCTCCAATTGTTTGGTGTACATTTCCCAATTATTACTACGTAAATTCCATGATTCTATGTATTGCCTCTTTATATGCATGGACGTCCATTTCGTTGCAATATTAAAAGTAATAGGTAAATGATCTGATTCGACATCCAATTCATTTTGATCTGTTCTCCAGTTATTGCAATATTGGATGAGGGATGCTGAACATAGTGATATGTCGATGCTTGACGATGAGCCATTTTTATAAAATGTTTTATCATATGGATAAGTGTTTAGTATATGTAAATTATTTGAAATGATAAATTGTAAGATTGTCTCTCCAACGTCGTCAATGTCTTTGTCTAACCATGCAGGATGGTGTGCATTCCAATCACCGCCTATTATAATATGTTTTGTAATTTTACTGGCTGCATCTATTTCTTTTTGGAACTCATCCAAATGAAATGATAAATTATTGTTATTTCTTATTTGATTATCTTCATTTTGAAAGATTGCTTGTGTTTTCTGTTGATTACGATATATGCTACAGAATAATATTGATTTATCCTCCCCTGGACATGATATTTGTACCCAGCATGTTTCATATCCTGATTGTTGAAATTTTTCTGGTCTAGATATGAAAATTTTTTGTATTGAGTGCAAGTCTCTTCTGCATAATATTCATGTCCTCCCTGTTTCGCTCCAGTAGTGACAGTATGTATGTTGGAAGTGATAATCGTTGTTTTTCCTTCATGATCGGAAACATTCTTGTAAAATGCATACATGTGGTTGAAATTCGTACAAATTTTGTTCAAGTAATTGTAATTTGGAATAGAAACCGTTTATGTTGTTTTGATAAATTTTTTTTTTTTTTTTAGATGGGTTGCAGTGGGGGCATGTCAAGTGTCGGACTACTCTCTCGCTTCATCCTCAAC